TCGCCAAGGCCACTGACGCGGTCGTTCCCGCAAACTTATGAAGGCTTATGAAAAATCTGATGAAATTGCAAACGAGCGTCGTAAGTAGAAAACTACTCAAAATCAGATCTCTTGGAGGCCAGCTCAAGAAAGTAAATACATGTTGTCACCATCGACGATCAGACCTCGGACCCATCTGACGTCTGTAAATAAAGTCAGAAACCGACTTCGATAACGCAAAATGGAAAATGGCGTACTCTTGCTTCGACTGCGCCGAGCTAATGCTTTTCGTAGGCATACCTCGAGTCTACCTCGATCGTCGACATAGAGGCAAAGGGATCCGGATTGTCGAGATACAACGCACTCGCAGGACGCCACGCATCCACATTGGGATCGCCGTATTTCGCTGGCTCGCTGTTGTGGTCAGCAGCTCGAGCAGACTTTGGAAAACGAAGGCGGTCAGAATCGATTGCACTACAATCCGAAGAGAACATACCACGTCTGGCGTGATCGCACTAGGACCGACCTTCTCGCGGACAAAGGAGAGTGCCTTCTCGGAGAGTGTAGCGTTCGCTGCACCAAGAGGGTGCGAGTGCCAATCGTTATAGTTCCCTAGAACAATTGGAGTGTCCGGGTAGGTCTTGACTGTGATAGAGCAGAAGCAGTTGCCTTTGATGTGCTTCGGAGGACCGACATATTGGGGCGTGCATGGTTTGTGACGGGAGCAGTAAAAGGTACGCTCCGCCAACCACCTACGCTTCTTGAGGGGAGCCACGTTTACGGTGCTCGTTAATACAAAGAATCTGATGCCATGAACGTGCTGCTCATTCAAAAGCCAGGCCTGGAAGTCCTCGATGGATGCCCATTCTCGTCTGTAGAGGCAGCTATAGTACTTCTTGTCGTGGTCGAATCCTCTGCGACCTTTATCCAAGACTTCCTTGACGTGATGCTTCGACATTTTGGGAAGACTAGGAGGACATATCGAACACTGTGGGCTTGTGGAACAGTAAGATAGGGCGGCTCTGAGGGCGTCTGCGGGTGGCATCGTATCTGAGCTGAAGGCAGTAAATTATGTGTGTGATCGAGCAAAAAGCGTGGTTGGTCGTGCTGAGCGGGTTATTGGCAGAGCGAGCTTCAAGCTACGCGACGAGGTAGGGGAAAGAACGACGAGGTAATGAGGAAACCGTCTCAACGTCTATCGCTTATATACGCGCAGGTAGAGAGATTACGGCAGTCGCGAGGATTTGCTGGTACCCGGAGCTGAATCGGAAATCCATTGTTGATTTTTGTCCATCGCATTTATACACTAAGTACAAGGAGGGGTTAGAGCAAGAATGGAGATGCCATGTGAGATAACGTACGCGGTACAATGACAGAAATTTCGCCCGCGCGACTAGTGCTACAAGAGGAATCAGAGAAAGAATATATAGGTACTATATGCGGTAACGTACACGGCACAATGGCAGCAACTGGGCACAGCCAAACCACTATTAGACAAAATTCAAGTCAAGTTCAGCCGTCTAAGCAGTTCCACCAGCATGTAGGGAGCCGACGATTACCTCGATTTGTTGGTGTCGCCGATACCTTCACACAAGATAAGTATACGACTAGGTTCCCAGCAGAGCTTTCGATACGGCCTGCCGTCGTAGATAATTACGAGCACCACGAATTACGGAGCCGGGAGGGGACAGAGGAGGCATTGCCCAGTATTGCAGCCAAGTAGCGACAGTAGTAAAACTGAAAGGGACCGTGGGAACTTGGATATCGGGTAAACTGCCACGGCGGGCCGATGATCCGCTGTTCTTCCTCCAAACTCTTTCTTCCTCTCGAGTGTGCAATACGTCCAGGTGAGTGCTAGCTCATATCCATTGCTCTCGTCCTAATATCTTTCAAATAAATAGAAATTACCGAGAGCAGAAAATAAGTTACTTGACTGGTGTGGGCACCCCCCTCACATATTAGACCGTTCAGCTGACTGTCAGGCTGGTCAGATGTTGTGCTGAAAGTGCAGTAGCAATCTATCCGCAGCTGTCCTGCTTCCACCACGATGAACACCAAAAAGTGGAACCCATGCTGTTCCCTGGAAGAAGGTTCGCTCATGGCTTGACTCATTTACCGTGCTAACATGAATTTTCAGCGGACAGAATACTCACAGCTCCGGGGAGTATGCTCGAGATTGAAACTCGCGTGAGTAGAGCCCCCGTAGCTGTAGCACGACGCCTGAATACCTGCGATTTAGGTAGTTGATGACAGGGTCTCGAAAGTGTGGAAAAACCTCTGGCCATCAATAAGAGCGTTCTTCTTGCAATTTGCAAACGAACACGCCGAAAAGACCTATTTAGTATTCGAGAAAGAACGCTATACCTTTAAAGAGATACTCGACGAGGCAGTTAAATGCGCTGCCATCTTCAGAGATGTTTACAAGGTTAAGAAAGGTGCGTGAACGGTGCAGACGTTCAATGAGCTGCGCTGAGACTCATTTCAACTCGATATACAGGTGATCAAGTAGTCATCTGCTCTCGAAATTTTCCAAGTTATTACATAGTGTTCTGGGCTTGTCGTACGTTAATATTTTAGGCTTCCAAGGCGTGTCCTCAAGTCCCATCCCAGATCTTCTTGGAGCTGTCACCGCACTTGTGAACGCGTAGGAGCTGCTGTTACATCTTCAGACGGTTTCCCTATTCATACGCATCATAGGTGGCTACCACTCGAGACACTCCGACATTGCATCACGCTCACAAATTGCTCGTTGATAATTCTAGACCCAGAGCGAGCTGATAAGATCGAGCCAATTGCTACTGATCTTAAGCATGCATCGGGTGCGTCAGGATACCTTGTCATTCAAGACCATGAGGGCAAAGAGTCTTGGGAAGGCATGGACGCCTGGAGCACAATGCGTTCCAAGTATGATATGGATCCAAAAGGAATACTGCAAGACGATCCTCAACTGTTACCTGATGACGATGCGATGATCATCTTTACTTCGGGAACTACTGGTCTTCCAAGTAGGTCCTATCGAAGTATCTGCACATGAACTCGTAAATCTTATTGTTTATCACAGAAGGTGCTCTAAGTACACAACGTGCACTACTAAGCACTCTTTTCAGTGTACGGCTTCAATCTGTGGATCATCGTTTCGTCTTCACACATGTTCGATAGAGAGCTGCTATGGCCGGAAGGGACGCTGTTCGACGAGGCGTACCGTATCCTTCTCCTCCGATTTCAAGTCCGCAGCAGCAGAGTATACTACTTCCCACGCCTCTGTTCCATGTTACTGGAATCAGGACGAGTGTAAGTGGATCTTTTGTCTTCGTGACCTCAGATACTGATAAGCAGACGATGATGCGTCTTCAGTTTACTGGTACTTCTCAAGGAATAAAGCTAGTTTTGATGCGGAAATGGAATGTAGAAGAAGGTAGAGATGGGTTTTATCGTTGTCTTATTTATCATTCTCAGCCGCATTTCCTCAGCTATCAAGTATATCATTTTTGCTCATCCTCGAAAGTTGTTAAGGCAGTTTTCTGTCTTAGATTGTGCAGAGCAGAAGATGTAACCATCTTGGGCGGGTTCGTGTCCGTCCATTGATTATGTTATCCTCTAACTATTCCACAGCGTACCCTCAACAGTAAGCGACCTTGCCGACAGCATACCACCTGGGTTATCAATAAAGAATATCACGTTCGGTGGTGCTCCGGTAGCACCCTCTTTGGTCAAGAGGTTAAAGCAAGCCTTTCCCCATGCAGTGTTGTATGTAGTCAACCCGATTCTTTCTGCATATAAGTAGTCCGACCAATTTCGCTGTAGCGGACAGGCTTACGGTCTCACGGAGACCAATGCCGCTTCTGTAGGAGTCGGTGAGCAAAGTATCTCCCAACCTCTTTCATCCAAATGCTGATTAATTGTAGTTGGACCTGATTATGTGGCGAATCTGAAAGCTGGTGACCCCGTCTCTCTATTTTTCTCTTTGCGAACTCATCAAATATACAGCGGATTCATACTACCTCCCAACGACATTGTAATCATGAAGGATGGTATCGAGGCTGCTCCAAAAGAGGCAGGTGAGATATGGCTACGTGGTCCGAACATAATGAAAGGGTACTTTGGGGATCCAGGTGGGTCTATTCGTCCGATATTCATTCGTCGAATGTATGGCTTATAATCGAAACACCGTAGCCGCCACAGACAAGGTAAGCGAGGCAGGTATTACCCGTGCACCTCAACGACTTATCTCCAACAAAGGTTCTCACAAAGGATGGGTGGTTCAAAACTGGTGATTTAGGCTGCGTCGACGAAGACGGTTACGTATATATCAAAGATAGGATTAAGGACATCATTATTCGTGGCGGAGAGAACATTGTGAGTGCTACGTTTTCCCGAAAATTTTCAATCAATAACCTTGCGAAGGATTCCAGTTCCGTAGAGAACGCCCTGTACACCGAGCCGGGTGTATTGGAAGCGGCAGCGGTAGGCGTACCTGACGAACGGCTGGGAGAGTTGGTGACTGCGCTGGTTACTATCAAGCCTGGATACCTCGGAAAGGTCGACGAGAAGAAACTTTTGGCGGTTGCGGATAAACTGTAATTTTCAATCGTTCCAGCTTATACCAATTATGCGAGGCTAATCTTTGGATAGTTTACCAAGGTTCGCTGTTCCGGTGATGATTATTTTGCAGGATGGGGAGTTTGGTATGTTTTCTTTTCATGATATATCAACGTACGCCTAGCATTGATGAACTCAATAAGACCATACACCTTCTGGCAAGCTCATCAAGACACAACTCCGAAAGATAGCGCAACAGGAGTGGGCGCGGAGGTTAAGGGATGCGAAGGATCTTGATACCGGGAAGTCCAAGCTATAGGTATACTCATAGAATGGTGATTAATTCAAAAGTCGGCTCGACACCTAAACTAGTAACCTAGCTGTTACTTGCGGCTAGCGAAGATATGATCTTGATTTGGGTACGGTTAGTAACTAGATGAGAGAAGGAGTAGCACAATTGTACATTATATAGTAGACATAGTGACCCCTTAGCTCAGTGGTAGAGCGTGTGATTCCAGAAAAATTTGATCAGTAAATATGGCATCCACAAGGTCAAGCGTTCAACTCGCTTAGGGGTCAACTACCTTCCTTTTTAGGCATGTCTCTTCCTGGTATTCCTTTTTGTAGCCATGATAATGCAGGGGATGAACATTTCGAAACGTGGAAGAAGGGAAGGGGCGTATTTATGATTCGATGATTGACCGGGGATAACCGGACGCTCCGTCTCGGCTCGCGCGCCAATCACGTGGCCGTTTTGCAGTCAGAGCGGTAACGGCAGTTTGAGTTCTCTGACACCTGTGGCAAGGCGTTGAAGGATCATCAAATCAACTTGAAAAGTTGTACCTGGACTATCACCAACCATTCCCTTATATCTTTGTTGATCTAGGTTCATCACGTTCTTTCGTGGGCTTTCCTCTTTCGTGATCATCACGCACGCCTTGTCGCGTTTTTCTGGTCTGTACTGAGGCCGACGTCATGCCGCCTTTCTGAAATCTGCCTAGTACAGTAAATTCAACGTATTCGGGTTGTGCAGCAGTGCTCATATCCTCCGGATAGTCTCTTCAGCTACATCCCAGTACTTTCGGTTCACTCTGCGACGCATCAAAGATATTCGTCCATCAATCACGAACGACAACCTTCTGACTCCCGAGTAGCGAGATGGGATATGAAACCTGAAACGTCACTACTCATCCAATTGCCAATAATTACTATCCCAACATCGAGGGTCCTGGCTCCAAACATGGAACACTGGCGCACGAGAGGTTCGGGAGGTGGCATCAAATTCTAGCATCATGGAACTTATATTTATTCGATAGACTCTGGCTGCTACTTTCTTTACTGTGGCTTACAAGTCAGGATCTGCATTCGATAATGGCACCCAACGCTATTGGTATGAATACCCACGCAGCAACAATGTCGTTCCCTACAGAGACATTGCTCATAGTATAAAAGTTCGACTTCCTTCACTTATCCTGCTCAGTTCCTGTTTTCAAAGACGTCGGCCAGTATACACTGAAAAGCGAACTATTCGGATTAGGATGGATCCCTTGGCGCTCTATTAATGTTGGCACTATTGGTAGCGAACGTGTTCTACGGTAATCTTGGGTAGCTTTTTAACTTCTACCTTCTTCTGATCTCTTCTATCTCTCTTAGCGACCTATCCTTCCATACTTCATTTGCGTCCAAGCCCTTATCTGTGAAATGTGTGATAGGTTGACCATGGCGGCCTTCCTACGGGGGCTACCTTAACAGAATCTGATTCGATTCACAAGTTACACCTTCCGCTCGTGATTGAAGTCACATTCCCCTTTTAACCAGATCCCTCCCTTACGTCCTGGACGAACGACGGTTTCCAAAGCTTTCACCTCCACTCTACCATCGGGACAGGAAACTAACTATCAATCTCGATTTCATCATATGCACGCGCATGTCACTGGGTGGACATATTAGTAATCTGAAGGCGATTTTCGCGGGAAGCACGCTCTTGGAAGAATACACGCTGTTCGTGAATAAATGTACGCAAACCATTTTTGTTAGAAGAGGAGATTACTGATACCTGTTGCTGTCAGACATCAATAGCACGGGTGTAAAGACTGTTAACCTCAACTTAGATGATTGCGAGTCGGCGCCACGGAATGAATATGATTACGACATAGATAGCGATTTTGACGAGGACGATGGCGACAAGAATACGATGGATATTGATGTTGCATTGATGCCGCATATATAAGGTAATTCCTTCTTCTCCCTTGCGCATAATTATTAACCTTCGGAACTGTCATGGCCAGATTTTGCTTATGCCAACCATCAACGAGTGTATGGGGTCCCGTATTCATTAGTCAATCCCTCACAGAACCACCCAGTAATGTCGCCTCCACTGGTCCTGAGGGCAGAGCGCTTGGGGTATATCTGGTATATTAATGACGCTGCGTATAAGGCGTGAGTCACTTTCATCAGATCCATGATCCATTTTGATTGCATCTACTAGCTGGAAAACCCTTCTGGCCTTCTCAAGTCCAGTGGAAATCTCCGAATCACAACAGTAGATGCATGCTCACTCAAGTCCATGTATCACTTGGCTGTAAGTGAGTATTCCCCAGGCACAAGCCTATTTATCTCCTTTGCTTTATTTCAGGCTAACCTTGACAGCCTTCAATAGTTGGCATTCGAAAACTGCCTCAACCAAAAGGGCTTGTCATATACCCATAGGACTCCGTCCTGCAGGCTGCCACATGAATGCATTGGCCTCAATAAGTATTAGCACTGGTCAACTGATTTATTACTGGTGTAATGCTACTAGAAATTCTGTCACTGTCATATTCGTACTGCGAGACCAACAAGAACCGTTAAATACGTTGTCACCAATCGATCGGCACATTGGACCCTAAACTCCTACATATATGAAAGGCACCCATCGCACAAATGAGTTATGTTCATGCTTGTTGGAATATGGCAATCCGGCATCATGCTGATCTGTCTTATTAAGGAAGAAGATTGAGGAAAGGTATAGAAAGTTCTAGTAAACAGTCCTTTAGTATATAAGTAGGTACTGTAGTGTAGATCCTCATGCGTTTGCAGAGCTCAGCCAAGTGCAATACTATTGGCTTGAACACTATGCATACATACTGGGAACGAACTTGATCCCCCGTTTCACAACAATGCTCCACACGTTTTCGAAGAGATTGAACAGTGTGATGCAATGTGATTGCAGCGTTCCCGCTATCAGGTTTTTTGTCTTCGAAAAGTCAAGAATATACTTCATCGGCAATGAGAGGAGCATCAACATCCCTGATTGACCACAATGTCGCAATAACACTTTGATATCCAGCCATAAGCATTCCCGCAGCAAGATGAACGGATTCCTCTACCAATGATTTATCTCCTGTGGCGGTTTGGCATGCAGAGAGGTATGCAAAGTCAGCCTCAGGGAATGACTTTGTGATAACATGTGAGAGTGGAAGATGCCCATCTGGGTAATTTAGGGAGGGATGAAGGTGAAAAGTGCTGTCTAAGGGTTTTGCCTTCTTTTGCATAGCATGGCACGCCATGTGAACCCAATTGCAGGTTGACATGCCATCAAGTACTGCATCCGGTGTCGCCTCTTCTCCCCTCAGACACTTGACAGGTCATTGGACTTCGCTAGCTCGTTCTTCGATCTTCTGCAGTTCTCCTTTCATACCCAGAAGACACGACAACCCCGGAGTGTTGGGTTGGCTGATTGCTAACAATCCTTCGAACGTGCGAGTTCTCTTTAGTTTGTCAAGAAGAATTGTGAGTGTTGGGGTGTATGATGAGATGACATAGTCAGATAGCTTTGTTCCTGGTTTGTTTGTATCGTAGTCTCCGGTGGCATGGATGGGGAGGAATGCTAGGGGACCAGTTGTACACCACCATAATCATGGTGGGGTGCTGGTATCACAAGGCTGAGAAATGTTTATAAAATGCTTTGGCATCATGTAAGAAAAGCTACTCACGGAGAAGGCTAGGCCATCGAGTACAGGCTTCACGATGCATAACCATAGTTCCTTTAATACTTTCACAAAGACATCGTTGTTCGAAGTGCCATACGCTGGTTGCGATGCTCGTGTACGAACACCAAGAACTGAGAGCGATTTGCTGAGTCGTTTTTGTAGCATTTCGGCCTTGTTGTAAGAGAAATTCTTGAGCGGGATGTGGATGACATCGTCTAGACCGGGGATTACAATGAGCGCATCGCAGCCCGAGCAATAGGCGTTGAGGAGGATGACTGGACCAAGCTTGGCCGCGTTCTTGAGCGTAGCCAGCTTTTTTGGTCCTAGAAAGTCTTCAAAACCTGGAAGTGAGCGGACTCTTTCAACCAGACTATCCCACTCGGTAGCTAAACGGCGCTGCTCTCTTGCTGTTTCCTCCATTGTTAACTCCTTGAAGTGCTCTGTGTTAACATCTCAACTGGTCGCCTTCTCCAAAGCAGCCCCTACTTGGGACAGCCTTTCAGCGAGACCCGGATGTGTGTCAGAAAGGAATTCGACAGGCGAGCGAAGGTTATGCAACTGGCTCCAAACAATGGCCCGTCCCGTCTCTAGAAACTCGAGTGCGGTATCGGCGTATTCCAATATAAGTGAATAAGCTGCTGCCTGATTGACTATATCACCAACACGGGCTAATTGCCTATGTCGTTCAGCTATACTCTTCCCTGTCCAAGCTAGTCGGGGGTAAAGTTCGACGGTGAGTTTAATTGCTTCCAATGTAGACGGAAAATCGACTATCAAGCGCACCCCGCCCCAATGTAAAGCGGCTTGTAGCCTAGTGAAAGGTGGGCCAGTTGGGGAGAGGGCAGCAGATTTGAGTAGGGAAGTAGCTTCGTAAGCGTCTGATGGATTTTTGAAAACGTGGAAACGACGTGCTACTGAAGCACCGAGGCCAGCTAGTATTTCAATTTTGTACGGATGGCCATCGGGAATAAGTGACAATGCTTCCGTTCCACAGGTGATGGATTCCTCCAGATCGTCGACGCGTTTGTGAACTTCGAAACGGTGTTGAAGAGATTCGACGAAGCTCATTAGGCAAGAGGGTTTATCTGGATCACCATTAGGGGTACAATCCACGGCACGCCACCTTGCAGAAACTGCCTGGTCGAGATCGCTAGGATCGTTCGTGTTGCGAAAACGAGCATCGAGGAATAAGCCAAGGTTATTAAGCATACCTGGCTTATCAAAGCGTCCGTCTGTAGTAGTCGGATATTGCACTCTGCAGCAATGAAATGGCCTCCGTAAGGTCATTAAAGTCTGCATTGAGTTCAAAGCGCCTAAAGAAGCAACCACTAACGTTGTTCAGGATGCCTGGCTTCTCCAGACATCTACTAGGCAGCGCATCCGTAGCATCCATCCCTTTGACGATTGCCTCATCTAGATCGGCAGGGTCGCCAAACAACTGAAAGCGCTCACGAAGGGAACCGCTGAGAGAGTGCAGCATTCGAAAATCCCGGGGAAAACCCTCTGGAATTAAATCTATTGCTTTCCTATTTTTTGAAATCGCTTCCTCGAGGTCATCGGAGTTGCCCAAACGTTCGAAGCGGTCATGCAATGAACAGGTGACGGTGT